ACACGTCGGGAACCCAGGCCCCGGCCTCCTCCTTTCCCTCCAGGCGGCGTGCGGCTGGGTAGCCGGGACCCGTTCCTTCCCGTGGCTTCCCCCTGCCTCCGGGGAGCCCGAGACTCGCCCCTGCACCAGCCGCTGCGCCGACCTCTCTACCTGCTCCCCAGATACCGAAGGGAAGTGAAACCGGTAGGACCAGACCGGTGGGCCCTTCCCTGGAGGGTGATTGCAGAAGGCGAAAGTCAGTCTTTTTTTCTTTTGTAAGAGTTTTTATTTTTTTAATAATTTTTATGCCGAAACCGGTTTGGCTCAGTGGATAGAGCGTCGGCCTGCGGACTGAAAGGTCCCAGGTTCGATTCCGGTCAAGGGGATGTACCTTGGTTGCGGGCAAATCCCCCGGGGGGGGTGTGGCGGACAGAGAGAACTAGCCAGGTGTGAGAAACACATCGATGGTTGCGTCCTGCACGAGCCCTGACCAGGGTGTAGGCTAGGGAGGACCCTGCAACCAAGGTGCGTGCCCTTGACTGTAATCGAACCCAGGACCCTTTGGTGCAGACCAATATTCTACTCACTGAGTCAAACCAGCTAGGGCTGTAAGAGTTTTTTAAAAATATGTTTTTGATTTCAGAGAAGAAGGGAGAGGGAGATAGAATATCAATAGGAGAGAATCACCAATTGGCTGCCTCCTGCAGGCCCCCTACTGGGATCCAGTCGGTGCCCTGATGGGGGAATTGAACTGTGACCTGTTTCATAGGTTGATGCTCAACTACTGAGCCACACCAGCTACGCTTAGTCAGTCCTACCTTCTCTAGGGCTTAACCAAGGGCAGGCCTCAGTGTCCTCAAAGGTAAAAATCTCTCCGCATCTTTGTCAGGATTATATTCATTGATGCTTTCTTCATTTCATTGTACAAATAACGATGGAGCACCTGGGGCTGCAGGGAGCCACAAAAGGCCGTGCAGGCTGTGCGCTGCACAGGGGTGCCTGGCCCGATCACATGAACTCCTTAGGGCTGTGTCTTCTCCAAGAAGGGTGTTCTCTGCTAACTTGCCACACAGCTCGTGAGGGGCGGTCCCTGCCCTGGCCGAGGCCCTAATCTCGCTTGTTAATGACTGAGAGCATTAAGTTGAATAGTACTGAGCACCTACTGTGTGCCAGGCACTATTCTAAATGCCTTGGCTTTATCTAATGTCAGTAAAGCTCTTGACAGAGTAAGGGAAACACCAGTAAGCAGTGCCTGACATGTCACTGTTGACCCAGCATGAGGTGTGTGACCCGCAGGCTTGTGGCGAGGCCACAGAGGAAGCTAGCAATGAAGGCGGCTGGGGGGAGGTGTTTGCAGCTCACCGAGAGCTTTGTCCTATGGCCCTGGTTCTGCGATGGTCAGGCTCCTGAAATGTCAACTCCTCCGTACCTTGGACAGAAGCCACACATGTTGCACCTTCTGCATGTCTGGGGCCTCCCCCAAAGTTTGCCCTTTTGCCTCAGAAACCACAGGGCACAGGCTGGGCTGGGAAAACCTTTTATTTGGCTGCATGCAGCAGGGGTAGGATCAGAGCACTGCTGGAGGAGGCAGAGGCAGAGGGCAGGGTGGGAAGGGTCTGTGAATGGCAGTTCCAATGTGGGGTGGGGCTTGGATTGCTCTCCAAGCTACAGGGAGCCTGGTGTAGGCGTGGAGGTGGACAAGCGGTCCTTGAAGACCCCCACCCCACACTCATCCTGTGCTCACACATCCTAGCTCTCAGAATCAGAGCCCAATCCTGCACCCACCTGCCCTGGGTTCCCACGCACTGGATTCCAGAGAGCCTTCTTCTGGAGAGCCCCACCCCATCTGGCTTTTGGGGCTTCACTGCTGGTAAGGACAGTCCAGACGTGGCGTCGACTCCACCCCACCCTGGGCCTGCCCGTCTCAGACCAGGCCTGAGCCTCTGGGCCATAGCCACCTCTCTGAGCAAGCAGGTCTAGCGAGAGCGTGGGAGCAGCAGAGAGTGGGACAGGGACAGGCTGGCAGAGCCCTCCTTCCACTCCCAGATCTGTCTGAGCTACACAGTCGCTCCCAGCATCTGGACTCTCTAGGGCAGCCCCAGGCTTGCCCGATGTCCTCCACACCGTCCCTGCTCCGAGGGCCCCCCAAAAAGACAGGGGGCAAGGCCCAGGAGGGGAAGGTAGGAACACAGATCTCGGTTGCCATCTGAGCTTGGACACTCACCCTCAGAGGAGTCGGGAGGAACCTGGGGGAACATCCTGTACCTCCCTAAAGGGCCCTGCCTCTTAAAGGTATACACAGCCCTCACCATCATTCAGATCGCACCCTCAGGCAGAGCGCTGGCTGTCTGCAGCATGGGAGGCTCCACAAAGAGGCGACGGGGGCAAGGGTGAACTAGGAGGTCTGGGGAAGCTGGCCCACCGCCCCTTCCCAAGCCCAGCCTTTCTCTGACAACAAGTTTACCATTCAGGGTTCTGTGGACGGGGCCTCGGGGGCATCAGGGCAGCGGGGGGCCCAATGGTGATGCTGCTGTTGGTGACCCTCGGGCCGTACCAGCCGGCCCAGTAGTGCGTATCCACGCCACCGTGCTGAAACCAGATGTAGCGGACGCCGGGTGGGTAGTTGGAGAACGTGTGTGAGACCTGGGAAGGGGGCAGGTAGAGGGAGGGGGAGAGGTCAGGGAGCTGACCCTGAGGATGGCGCTGCCTGAGGGTCAGGGGGACAAGGAAGGGGCTGCTCTCTTAGTGCTGGGCCAGAGCCGAGTTCTAGCTCTCATTCTGTGAAGCTGGGCAGACCACCTCCCCTCTTCTATGCCTTAGTTTCCTCGTCTGTAAAATGGAGTCGATTCCTGGAGGGGCCACTCCACAGGATTATCTAAGTGTGGCGCAGAGCAACAGAAGGAAATTTCGCAAGCTGACGAAGGGTGTCCAGTACAGTCACCACTGGGCACATGTAGCTATTTAAATTAAGTAAAATGAGATGAAATTAAAATTCAGTTCCTCAGTCACACTAGGAACTGGTTCTTATTAAGTGTTCGATGGTCACATGTGGCCATTGGCTACCACACAGACAGTGCAGACAAACCATTTCTGCCGCTGCAGAGAGTTCTATTGCAGAACGCTGGTCTAGGTCAGGATTTGGCAAACGATGGCCCGCCTGCCTGTTTTTGTAAATAAAGTTTTATTGGAACACAGCCATGTTCACTTGCTTAAGCTGCTTTCACAACACAACGGCAGAGTTGAAGACTTGAGTCGTTGTGACGGAGACAGGACAGCTTGCAAAGCCTGAAATGTTTCTATCTAGCCTTTTAAGAAAACATTTGCTGGCCGCTGGTCTCGATAATAGTAACCACCAATATTAGTAATTAGTAATAGTCAGCCTTTTTGAATGTGGCTCTATCAGCATCACTTCACTGAAAGTCAGAGCAGCCGAAGCCCAGGTGAGAAGCAGCAGAGCTGGGATTTGAACCCAGGCCGGTCTGGCTGTAGTCTCAGCCTTGGGCAATGTGCCCCCCCCCGCTCCCTTCCTGACCCACACACCTCTCTCCACTTGGCATCGCTCTTCTGCTGGATCGTTGCTGGGTCAGGCTGGAAGGTCCCCAGAGGCGCATGCGCTGATGACAGGAGCTGAACGCACAGCTGGTACTTGGACCCGCAGTCTGGCCTTGCTGCAAACCTGCAGGCAGAGAGAAGGCCCATCAAGGCCTTGGAGATGGGGGGGCAGGGTGGGGGTGGGGCACCTGAGTGGCAGGGCCCACCCCCAGGCCCTCGCCCCAGGCACTCACCAGTCCTTGACCTTGATGTCCGGCCGTGTGGTGTCCATCAGCTCCTCCCAATACCCTTCGGCCTTGAGGTCCACCACCTGGGACTTGAGGCAGGTGCTGGGGGGCAGGCGGAGGGTGGGCTGGGCTGAGGCTCACCACTAGGGCACTGGGAGGCTAGGCTGCTTTCCCAGAGAGGAGAGACCCCAGGGGGGCAGTGACTGTGGCTTCCCCCTCACCCCAAGTCCCCCTGACCTTGGATCTTACTAATAAGAAGTCACGAAGTATTTCTTGACCTGGTCATTGGGGAATTCCTTCCTCTGGTCTCCAGAGAGGTCTTCCACCTTCCACTCATCGCCTCCATTCACATCCAGGCTCCAGAACTCAAATCCCTCTGGCAGGAAAGCACAGTTCACATCAGAGGGAAGCCCCTCGGTGGTCACCTTCCCCCGAGGGCCCCTCCTCCCGGTTCTCCCTGCAGCTCAGCAGCTGCCCTCAGGCCTGCGTTGTGGAACTGCAGATCAGTGTGCCCGCCTGGAATTAGTGCTTCCTGTGCCAGGCACCATGGTGAGTGATTTCCACTGGGAATCCTGGGACACGTGATGATATGAAGGACCAGATTCCTTCTGTGATGCAGAACCTCTGCTGCTGGCCAGATCTGAGGCTAGTCCTGCCTCTACAAATACTGACTGTGTGACAAAAGGCAAGGTGCTTTCCCTCTCTGAGCCTTGGTTTTGTCCTCTGGGGTCAAAGATTAGGGACTGGCAAACTTTCTGTAAAGGGCCAAAATATTTTAGGTTTTATAGCCTATACATTGTTTTATTGCACAGTATGTTTTGTTGTTGTTGTTGTTTTAAATAATCCTTTAAAATGGTAAAAGGTATTCTTAGCTCCTGGGCCAGATTTGGCTCATGGACCATAGTGTCTCAACTGCTGGTGAGGAACATGGCTGTTGGGGAGTCACGTGAGACAGTCATCTGAAAGTCCTAGAGAACTTGGAGCTGTTTTATCATTTTGCTCCAGAATTTGGCCACATAATAGAGAATGAGGCTCCCATCCCCTCCTATCCCAGTGTCTAGCTGACGAGTTAACATAGGGAGGGAACAAGGAAGTGCTGGATGACTGTAGAAGTGGCTGAAGTGTGCTGGAAAGAAGACTGGACTTCTCATTCTTCCACAAGCAAAGTCCTTTGACCTCTGGGACAGTCCTAGTAGGCCTAGCCCTGGAGTCTGGGAACTAGGCCAACAAAACAGCTGACTTCCTGGTCTTGTGCCTGGGGCATAATTAATCCCAACTAATCAACATTCCTTCTCCTAGGAAAGGTCACTGGGGATATCAACTTAAGGGTGAAAGAAGAAATGCCACTGTTGGCCTCAGTTTGCTCATCTGAAAAATGGGTACACTACCAGTACCTACCTACCTTTTAGGAGGATTGTGAGAGGATTAAAGTTGTTAGGCCATTCAAAGTACCTAGCTTAATAAATGTTAGCTGGTATCCTGACAGTGTGTGTGTTGGGGGCACGCCGGACCCGCTCTGTACCCCACCTTCGGCACACGGGTTGTGCAGGAGGTTCCTGTGGAGGCTTCGTAGGAAGTAGAAGATCTTCCAGTCGGCCACAGGCTGGTCCCAGTCCTCGGTGATGAAGCCCTCACGCAGGCATTTGCGCTTCCAGAGGGTCACGAGGTCTATGAGGTCCCGCCAGAGGCTGCAGACCAGGCGGCAGCGCAGCAGCAGCTGGCGGGCAGGCACGTGTGTAAACAGCTCCAGCAGGATGTTTTCTGGCAGCTCGTTGATGTTCTCCACCGCCATGGCTCCTGGCTCCCGGCTCCCCGACACTCCTGTGGTTATTGAAAAGCGAGGCTACAGACCCTCTCCCTGGGCCTGGGATTTGCAGCACCCCGTGCTGGTAGAGGTCCCCAGCCCAGGTTTACAGTCTCGGGAAAGTCCCTGGGCCTCTCTGGGCCTCAGTGTCCAACTCGGTAGCCAGGGGCCAGGAACAGCACCTGCCACCCCCTGGGAGGTCCAAGGAGCCTGTGACACAGCAGAAGCTCAGTACAAGGTGAGTTGTTTTGTTTTTAACTGGCACCTCCCAACAGCCTCTAAGGAGGCCTGCGGAGAGGTGGCCGGATCTGCCCAAAGTCACAAAGACAGGAGCAGAGGGAAGGAGGCCGAGCCTTCTCTGATTGTAGAGTCAGCCTTTTCCAAGAGGCCAGTTAGAGTGGGAATAACAGCGCAGCCCCGCAGAGCACTCCAGCCGTGCGGTGCCTTCTCCATTCTCTCCTGCGCTCGGAGGGGGGAGGGCGATGTCGGGGGCAGGGGTAACGATTGTCTCCGACCAAGGTCAAAAGGGCTCACGCGACTTTCTCAAGGCCGAAGTGGAAATGACCTGCCCAGTTGGGCCTGGAGAAGGGTGGGCAATGCAAAGACCTCCCCTACACCCCCACTCCCACCCCCATGCCTGTGGCTGGGCTCCAGCCCCAGCCCCCCTAGCGTGTCTTCACCCTCCCATTCCTCGTGGCGACTTTAAAATGTCCCCCAAAGTCGGGGCTCGGACCCCTACGCGAGACCCCAGCTCCGGTTTCCGCTCGCACCGCCGCAGGAGGCCGCGCCACGTAGTTCCCGCGAGCAGCCCGGGACTC